ATTTCCCTCCTCTCATGCTACACACTAATCAAACTTAAAAACTCCTGACTTTTGTATGCAGTAAACATTTACCAATTTCCTTACCTTTTCTCACACTACCCCTATCTCAGAAATACCTTCCCCCACCCACATTCACCTTCTTAAATTTTATCATTTCCTCAAGGTCCACCTCATAAGGGTGGCAAATTATGTTTCCTTTCTCCCATTTTACACAGCACACTCTTCTTAACTTTTATTATATTCTATTCTGCCCTTGAATTTTGTGTATGTATGCATACATGTACATGTATACATATATCAGCATGATATGTTTGTATTTGTTATAACTCCCTTGCTAGAATATAAATTCATTAGGGAAAGGGCCTTGTCTTAATTGGCTTAATACGTCCCTGGAGGATCCAACAGTGCTTTTGAACACAATGATTCAACTCAACAATTTATTAAGGACTTGCTGTGCAAAGCACCAAATGTTTAGTTATGATACTTCCCAAATGGAATCTACAATCCACAAGAAGGATGGCAACAGTTAAATAAAACACAAGTAATTGCTTTATGAACAAATGAATGCAACATTAATAAAGGTAACAATCTGTGGCACTAATTTGTTTTCATTTGTCCTAACACCACAAACAATATTTTTCCAAAATGGCTGTTCTTCTGGTGTATTATCTTACACACACTAACCTATGAGCCCTCTCCCTCATTTTCTAACACATGTTATAGAGAAGAGAAAGTCGAATACTTTCTAGAAGAAGCAATAGGAAAAAAAAAAAGAAGCAGCAATAGGAACAAAGACCTGTAGTCAGTCTAAGAATAACAAGACCAGTTAGAAGACATAATCCAGTCTTCAACAAAAGCATAGGCTCTATACCAGTGGTAAAAGCTCTAATACTGGAACAGCAGACAATACAACTTGAACTCAAAGCAGCAGCATCAGAGGAGCCTGAAGTATCCTGGAGCTGTCAAACATGTTATATGGTTAAGAATGTCCATTACTACAGAGAATGTCGCGACTAAAAAGCTTAGTTGTTTCTCCTAAAAAATTCTGTTATCAATATCTTCAAGCAAAAGGAAACACTGAAAAGCATTAAGTGATTATTACGTATCAAACACTTCTTACATGTACTACTGAATTTATATTAAATGCTAAACTAAACTCAGACTGAAGCCTGACAACGTATGAAGAACCTGCTCTTCAAGGGTTTTTCTGTTGCTCTAGTTTTGAAAAAGGAACATTATGCGTTATTTGTCGCCTTTGTGAACTTCGTAAATCCGCAATTGCAAAACATACAAAGTATCTTGTGGCTAAAGTGGGTCCTTGTTTTCAAAATACAGGAAATAAACTATTTCCATCAATCTTTAAAAAGTGAGTATCAGTAGTTCCATAGGAGCCTCCAGTATCTTTTGTTCCTTCCCCTCCAACTTTTAGTGAGGATACGAAAAGAGCAATCAGCTTCAAAGACCCCAATGAAGCATTCTCAGTCCACTCAACATATAAACACTTCAATCAAAGCAAGGGCCAACATGAACAAAAACTAATACACATTTTTCACCTTGCTTAAGCAGAATAAGGAACCAAAGAGCTACTCACCATGTTTCAACGATCACTAAGCTGTTGCATTTTGCAAATTCAATTCTGAAGAAGACAGTAATACTCTAAATATTTACAACTTTCTAAACATCCAAACCCACTACCATCGATCGATAAGCAGTGCAAGGGCAGGAGATAAAATACAAAATAGCCCTCAAAAGACTTTACATTCTATAAACTGTGCATGTATGCTCGCATGTGTGCATGTGTCTGAGAATAAAAGAGGTTCCATGAACAAGGTAGCATTAAACTAAGTTTTGAAGGAAACTAGAAATTCTAAGAGGTGGTGGTGAGGTAGAAGTATACCCCAGGGAAAGGGGACAGCCTACTGCAAAATAATGGAGGCAGGAGATGGAGTGTCCTTTGTAAAGAAAAGCAACGACTACACAGAGAGCATAAAAGGGAGTAATATATAAAAGTTAGAAAGGCAGATAGGGAGAGGTTTGTGAATGGCTTTAAATGCCACAGAAGAGAATCTCTGGAGCCACTTTACTGAGTAGAGGAACGACATGGTCAGGAATATCACTCTGGTAGCGGTATGGAGAGGGGAGACCTCATGTAGGGACAGCAATTAGGAGTCTACAACAATTCAGGAAAGAAGTGATGAAAACCTTGGCTAAGGCAGTGATTATGTAAGTAGAAAAAAGGGGACAGACAGAGGAGGTGCTGTGGAGCCCGAAATGACATGATGAAGAGACTGACAGGGTATATGGTATGAGAGTGAGGAGCTAAGGATGACACCAAGGTTAAAGAGCCTGAGAGAACAGAAGAACAGTGTTAACCTTGACAGAAATATTTTTGTATAAATACTTTTGTATTTTTGTTCAGAAGGGAGGTAGGTGGATTTAGGTGAAAAATAATGGGCTTTGTTTTAAATGTGTTAAGTTCGAGATGTCCCCTTAGAAATGTCTAATAGGCATCAGATGACCTGGAAGAGCAGCTCTGGGAAGGCTAAATATGTAGATCTGGGCATCTTCTGGAAGGAGACAGCCCAAAGCTAAGACCTGCTGTCCTCTTCAGATTCTGCTAAAGGGTAAAGACAAGAAACAGCAAGCGCAAGTGTAGCCTGATGATACACAAAAGAAAAGATCAAAGGAGGACCTGATGGCTCATGCATATCACTATACAATTTTCAGGGTAAACCATGCTATATCAACATAAAATCAGAGAATATTAGAGATGGAAAGGACTTGGAGAACATCTGTTTTCACACATATAGAAACACATGTTAAGCAGTTACCCAAGGTGGCAGAGAAAATTATTTCAATTCATACTGTTCCTCCATTTTCTACAAATATGGGAAATGTAGCATCCCTAAATAATTTCCCCTTAATGTCAACATCACACACACAAAAGTAGAGTGAAAGACGTTTAGCACTGCTGAATGTTTTTAGAAATTACCACTTTCTACTGACATAGCAGGCAAAGTAAAGGTAGGAACCAGCCATGAAAATGGGCTACAAAAGGAAATCTTAAGCAGTCACTTATAATCTTCCTTTAGAGGAAGTAGATGAGCAGGTAAGAATACCAAACCCCGGGACTAGAAATTCTACATATTACAGCAAAAGGCAAAAAGGGTCAACCCCATCAGAGACTTCAATCCCCACCCTCATGTTAGAATACACTTTATTCAAGAGTAAAAAGCAAAGGTTAAGAGTATATTGTGATAATTGTTTATTTAGAATTAGGTTCCAGATCACATTTAGAAAAGTATGTCAGGTTTAAACTACATTAAAACTACTGGAATACTGTAAAGATGTAATCTGAATTACAGCAGGGATGTAAGGTAAGTGCCAGAGATAGTAAAACCAAAAACCAATGACACCATTTTTTCTTCCTTAGAAGCAAACGGGTGCTGAGATAATAATCAAGTAGAATACAGCTCCCTCTGAATCTGAAGTCTGGGACTGATTCCTGCCTCAGCCACTTACTTACTTGTGACCGAGGCAAGTTGATGAGTCTTTCTAGGCCTGTCTTGCTCATCTTCAAAAGAAGAGGCTGGACTAGAATGATACTCAAAGTCCCTTCCAACTCTTTCTTCATCCACGATCATTTGACTGAGGTTCTCTAAATGAAGGACCAGCATTCACAATCATATGCCATAGGGTCATTCACCAGACAGGGGATAAGATAGAGAATTTTGTAAATGGAAAACCATATCCATTTAATAAAGTAGACTTTACTTCACAAAATATGGAAAACCCACGAGACACCATTTCCATTATATGACTGTTTACACCTTAGTTAATTCTTTTGAGGGCTTAAGTATGTTTAGAATCCTTAAAAAAACATTTAAGGAGTTTCTTCTGAGGGCATCAAAATGCCTCACGGATACTTCATGGCAGCAAGTATCTAACCACCTTTTCAAGAAAACCAAACCATTGTGGGAACCGATCAAAGAGCCTGGCCCAAGATCAGGTCTTGGGCGCTAACCCAATGCTCTGAAACAACATTGTTCGTTATTTAAAAAGAGGCAATATTTGTAAAGAACTCAACACAGTGCAGAGCACGTAGTAGGCGTTTTTAAGAAGCATGTTTTCTTCCCCCTTCTCCTTAAGCATGCATTCGCTGCTCATAAAAAACCAAGTGTTTCCTGCATACCAGGGGAAAACGGAGAAGGGATCGGGCTCTGGGCAGGTCAGAGACCCAGGGAGGAAGAGGCTCTGCTCCTTTCTACCTGTGTGACCTTGGCCGCAACCCCCGGGCCTCGGCGGCCTCCCCTGAGCCGCCCGGGTCCCTCCACCCCGACCCTAGGGAGGGGGGCGCATAGAGCGCCCATGGGGGGGGCGCCGGAGGTCAGAGGGCAGCCTTCCCAAGCCAATCCTCCGCAAGGCACCCCGAGGAGGGTCTAACGGTCTCGCTAATTGGCCCACGTGCAAAACCAACTCCAGCGTGGCCGTGAAGGAGGAAGGGGGCATCCCAGGCCGGAGGCTCCCCGGCCCGCCTGGGGCTGAACCTCGGCTCCGCCGCTCGCAGGTCCTCTGAGGCTGCCCGCCAGGCTCCGCGCCCCAGGAAGGCCTGGGAAGAGAGATTCCCGCGTCCCCCGGACGCTGACCCCGCCGCTCTCGGAGCCCGGGCCTCTAGCCAAGGGGAGGCGGCGGCGGCGCTGAGGGCGGGCGGGCGCTTCACCCCCACCCCGGGCCCGGGCGCTACAGGCCGCACTCCCTCGCCCGGGCCCGCCAGCCCTCAGCGCGGCCGCCGCCCCCCTGCCAGGGCTCCGGGCCCGGTTGCTGAGAGAGCTCAGGCCTCACAGTCTGCGCACCACGACGCGGCAGCGCCCCGCCCCCCACCTGGCCCAGCCTACCCCGCCGGCCCGAACCCCGGCGGCGAGCGCCCACCGCCTTCGTCCTCTCCCGCTGCCCAGGGACACCCCGCCCGTCTTGGCACACGAAGCCCCCTCGGAAGTCACCTTTGAACTGGATTTCTGCGAGCCGCCTGGCGTTTTGTCCGCCATCTTGCGTCCTGCCCCTCCTCGGCGGCAGCAGCGGGAGCGAGTCGAGCGCCGACCTTGCGTGCGGATCGCCGTCAGGGGCCCGCCAGAGGCGTCTGCAGGGAGGAGAAGTCGATAGCCGAGGAAGCGAGCCAAGACGGCGAGCTGCGAAAGGTACCTCACTTCCCCCTCCCCCCCCCGCAGGCCGGGAAAGAGGAAGGCGCTCGGACGTCACGTGCCACCTGAGCCCGCCTTCCGGACGCCGATTGGCGCGCGTCTGGGACGGGATGAGGCGGGGCGAGGTGCGCGCGCTTCGGATGGACGCTGCGCAATGAGAGTGGGACACGTTCCCATCTTTCTGCGCCCTCCCGCGGCGATCCCGGAGTGTGGGCAGAGTTGGGGGCACGCGACCCCGAGCTCCGTCCTTCCACGGCGTTCTCTAGGCTTTGAAGTTAAAGGGAATTAAAGCGACGGCTGGTTTAGGAAAGGGCCAGAAGAAGACTAAGGGTCTATGACGTTACGAGCTCCCAAGAAGCAGTTTGGTCCCGTGGATAACAGGCCGAGAGGCTTCGGGAGGCCTGAGTTCAAATCCTAATCACTTAAAAACTGCTTGACTTCTCTGAGCCTCGGTTCCCCCATCTGCAAAGTGGGGACAGTCACATTCTTTGCAGCAATTTTTGTATCATAGACTCCTCTGGCAGCCTGGTGAAGCTACTCCCTTGTCAGAATAATATTTGGAAATGCATCAAATAAAATATGCAGGACTGCAAAGGAAGCCATTTATGTTGAAAGACATTTATCAGAATATTGAGAGGGAAAACACAAGTTCATGAATGCCAGGCCAAGAACCCTTGGGTGTCATCCTAAGCAGATGATAGGTGTGAAGGGCTTTGCACCCCCTGAAAGTGATGTTAAATGTCAGGGATTCTTTTTGCAAACCCCCCCCCCCCCCCCGCCCGCCAGCGTCGCACACGAAGGTGCTTAGCAAATGCTGTTCAGTTGAGACTCAGACCCCTTCTCCTCTCCCTCTGTACTCCACTCGGTCATCTCAGCACCCCGGAGGTTTAATTACCTCGGTGCTGACGATTTCTTAATCTACCTTTCCTCTCTTTCTCTCTGCTGACCTCCCATCTTACATCTCCAGCTGCTTTTCAGACATCTGGAACTGCAGGTCCAGTGGACACCTCCAAAATGGACCTTATCTTTCCCCCAAACCCTCCTCCCTCCTACTTTCCTAGTAACTTGTGACGGCCACAGCACCCTCCCAGGTCCTGAGGCTCACAACCTAGGAGTCATCCGGGACCCTTCTTTCTCACCTCACCCACGCCCACACGCATCATTAAGCTGTGGTCAAGTCCAGAGGATTTCACTTTTTCACCCGCTCTCCAGGATACTCCCACCATTTTAGTACAAGTCTTTATCACCTCAGACCTGGAATATTTGAATAGCCTGAGGGTGGATCTGCCTGCCCCAAATCTCTCCCTGTTCCAATCCAGCAGCCAGATTAGGCCGCCTATATCCAGAGCTCTGTGGTGGCTGCAATTCAATTGTGAGGGCAGTAAGGGACCAGTGAACAAGATAATCTGGAGGAAGGGAAAGGTACCAAAGGTATGGGGGGAAAAAAATCTTGGACTTTATCAATACCAAAAAAAGGGGGGGGTGGAGTTGGGGGAGGGGACTGAGAGTAATCAGTAACTACTGACCTATATAGGTCACAGTTTTATCATTTCCCAATTAACTGAGAGATGTAGAGAAATAAGATATCATGCTTATTGTTTGGTGATTACAAAATAGCATTTGACTTGGCAGAACACAGATTCTTTTACAAGAAGGAGGCTCCAGTCCATACTTCAAAATTGGTGGAGATTCCTTGTAAGTTTAACAACAGATGTTACCTTGTGAATGACCCTCTGGTGATGAGATCAGAGGAGACTTAAAACAAGGAGCTATCTGCTCATCAAAGGTATTCACCACTGGGATAGAGGAAATCCAGGTCAGAGTCCAGGTCAAAGAGTGATTCCCTATAGATGATGAAGTCTTCCAGAGCCTCCTCTTTAAAGATGTGGATTGCATCAAGCACTGGAACATTGTAGACTGTCCTGGAAGAGATTCATCGTCATTCAAAGATGTTTGTCCTGAACATCCACACAGGAAATACCAAATGGATGAAGAAAGCCGTTGGGGCGTTCCAACAGTAGGTATCTCTAGGACAGACGGCACAGATTGACCACAAATTGGGCCCACGGTAAAACAAGAAAAGCAAAGCAGGCTGGAATGGTTTAGGGAAATTCTTTTATATGATAGCAAAGACCCACTCTTTAATATTAACAATATTAACATTTTACCATGTTTTTATGTGACAGCAAGGCACAGAACACACCTGCCTCCAAAGAATTAAAAATAAGTATCACAAGGCAATGCTTATTTCTGGGGGGAGAGGGGGGAGTGAGCAGCCTGCAGTATAAAATCAGCAAAGAACACAGAATAAGGATAGGAATTGAGCACAGCATAAAGGAATCATCTGATAGAAAGGATCACTTGGGATGATATTTTGGGAGGACATGGACAAGAGTTATACAGGGCAGCTAGGAGACACAGTGGATAGAGTGCCAAGCCTGGGGTCAGGAGGACCTGAGTTCAAATTCTACCTCAGGCTTTGTGACCCTAGGCAAGTCACTTAATCCCTGTCTGCTTCAGTTTTCTCAACTCTTAAAATAGGGATGATGATAATAATAGCACCTACCTCTCAGGGTTGTTGTAAAGATCCAATGGGATAATAATTGTGCCTGGCATGTAGTAAGCACTATATAAATCTTAGGTATTATCACTATTATTATTATTATTATTATCATCATTAGGTCTAGATGAGTTGCAGTCTGGGCCACAGAGGGAACTCCCGAATCCTTGAGATACATTTCTCTATTGGAGTTGGGAAAAACTACCTATCAATTAGAGCTATACAAAAGTGGGATGGGCAGCCTCAGGAGGTGATAGGTTCCCCCTCACTAGACTACATGTGAAAGTTGAATGACTACTTCCTGGGAATCCTGTATATGGGATTCTTGTTCAGGTTAGACTAGATGTCTTCTGATCTTTCCAGTCTACATATTCTTCATATTTTTCTTATATATTTTTATATATTCATATTATATACATATATATTTAGTATACAGTATGATCAAACCATTCCAAATCATCACCTGTATATCCATTTTTTAAATTAACATACTTAGTAGACATGTGGCCTAAAAGATCTTTGTCTATGAGAGTAGATTAGACAAATATTAAGAACCATAGCAGATAGAGAGCTAGCCTCAGATACATACTGGTTGTGTGATCCTGGGCAAGTCACTTAACCACTCCGTATTCTGAACAACTCTAAAACGAGAGGCTGTGACAGCCTGAATAGGTAGAGGGACATTCCTCACCTGGAAGTTCCCTACACCAATTAAATCGCAAGGCTTTTCCCTATCCCTGTATTACCTAGTACATTTTGGCTTTTAACCATAGTTGTAGGGAATGTCCTCTACTCTCCAGAAGCACTGGGTCAGCGAGACATTCAGCATCTTTCCAGGGCCGTACATGTCCAGTATGTGTCTGAGTCTGGACTTGAACCCGGTTCCTACCAACTCCAGCAGGCGACCACTTGTCAACTCCACTCATTGCTCCTGGTTCTACCCAGAGGGCCAAACAGCATAATCTTCAACCCATGAGACAGCACATCAAATACTTGAAGACAACAATCATGTTCCCTTTGAGTCTTCTCTTTCTAGGCTAAACATTCCTGATTCCTTGAACCTTCTTCATATGACATGAACTCAAGGCCCTTCATAAATCCTGGTTCCTCACCCTCTGATTAGCCCCACTTAGTAACATCCTTAAACTGTGATGAACATAACTGCACACAGTAGTCCAGGTGGAGCCTGACCAGTGCAGGATACAGAAGGATGGTCATTCCCTCCTTACTCCTGGAAGCTATACCTCTCTTCACAAAGCCCAAGATCCCAAAGTTGTTTGGCTGCTGCATAATATTGCTGACTCATATTCAGGTTACAGCCCACTAAAACCCCCAAACCATTTTTCACATAAGCTACTATCTCCTCATGCCTTCCCCAACTTAAGGTTGATTTTTTTAACACTAGTGTAAGTTTTTAACATTTACCCCTGTTCACTTTTTTCTTCTTAGTTTTGCCCAACATTTTAGCTTTTCAGGAGTTTTTTCAATCCTGACTATAATCCAATGTGTTAACTAAACCTTTCAGTTTTGCATCATCTGACAATATGATGATTTTGCCACCTATGTCTTTATCCAAGGCATTGATAAAAATATTAAACAGCACATAGTATACCTGACAAAAAGGCAAATAATATTAATCTGGCATGACCTGTTCTAGATGAAGCCAGGCTGACTCTTGGGACTTACCACTCCTTTTTCTAGATGCTCACAGACCATCTCTTTAATGAAGCATTCTAGAATATTGCCAGGAATCAAAGCCCAGCTCCCTGGCCTGGAGCCTGCAAACTATTCTCTCTCTGTCTTTAAAAAAAGAAGAAAAAGAAGGAATATCGGTCCTTCTCCAGTCCTCTAATGCCTTTCCCATTCAGCTTTCAAATATCACTGACTGACTGGCTCAGTCACCACCTCTTCCAGATCTTTCAGGACACTAAAGCCAAGTAACGTAAATTCACCAAAGGCAGCTGGGTACTACCTCATTACCCCCTTATTTATTGTGGGTATCAATTCCCCATTAGCCATTTCTGTTCTTTCAAAAACACCAGTGATGCTGGAAGTTTTACAAAGTGCTCTCCCCGCACAACCCTGCAAGAGAAGCAATACAATTATTACTACCCCCATTTTGTAAACAAGGAAAAGGTGTCTCTGAGAGGTTGGGTGATAACAGCCAGTAAGTAAGCAAAATCAGCGTCAGCATTTGAACTGGTCTAGGTTCTTTCCATTAACTGCATCATTACCCTTATTCTCATTCACCATTAGTGAATTCCCAACTGGTCCGGGTGCCTCACCCAGTGTCTTATGTTAGTTTATTGAATGAAGGAACAAATGGGTAAATGCTTCACTGAGCTTAGGTAAAAGCTAGGCTACTGCTGCCAGGTGAGCTCTGAAGATGAGATAAATACTGAATGTTCAGTACCTCCCTCCCCAGATCCTTGCCCCTTATGCATTACAGAATATAAAGAGTGAATCAATGA